AGGAGCAAGGGAGACAACACTGTGGATGCTTGCAAAGCAGGCTACACAGCACTCCCACCTAGGAAGAGCAACTGCAGGTCCTGTGTGACATTTTAACTGCTTTGCAGCAATAGTGCAGGGCTGCCAGCTGGGTGTCTCACAAGATGAGAGACCCCTGGTGGTTTTACAGTAGTTTGTGGCAGCCCTGACTGAAATGTTCTGAAGAAGCTCTTCTTCTGGTATATAGAGAATCAAAAGTCCATCAGAGAAGTGAATGAACTTTAAGCCTAGAAAGGAGCTGCATATTGCACTTGCTCAGACATTGAACAGAAAAATAAGTTAAACTCATTGACCTGGAAGATGGCATAGAGTGCACCCTCAGCAGGTCTGCAGATGACACCAAGCTTGGGTGAACAGTAGATACACTGGAGGGTAGGGCTAGGATCCAGAGTGACCTAGACAAATTGGAGAATTGGGTCAAAAGGAATCTCATGAGGTTCAACAAGGACAAGTGCAAAGTCCTGCACTTAGGATGGAACAGTCCCATGCACCAGTACAGGCTGGGGGCTGGCTGCCTGGGATGCAAATCTGCAGAAAAAGGATCTGGGGGGTACATGCGTTCCTGGAAAACTGCGCATACATTGAATTTGCATAAAGGGAACCCAGTTTATAAGGTAACAAATAGGGATACATCCCAGGGCTGTGCGAAATTTCAACGAGTGTTTCGTTTCAAAGCTCTTTTGACACATTTCAAGCGTGAAACAGCAAAATCTAAATGAAACAAAAGCCTTTGAAACAGCTTCGAAAAGAAATGAGGGCACTCGAAACATTTCAAAAGTTTTGAAACATTTTGAGTTTCAAAGCCTGGTGGCGGGAAGCAGGGGAGAACCAGGGCTGCGCTCCAAGCAGCTCTGCCAGCCCCACGAAGTTCAGCTCAGTGGTGAGAAAGCCAGTGGTGGAGGTGCTCCAAGCCCCAGATCTGCGCACGGGATGACAGGAGGCTGCTACTGCTGCCTGGGGCCAGTGACAGCACCAGCCTTCCCGTCGCTGGACGCGGGCTGCTCCCAGCACCAGTCCCAGGAGGCAGCCTCCTGTCATCCCAAGCACAGATATGGGGGCCCGCACCCCCAGGAGGAGTCTGGCACAGCCCCGCAGCCCTCCTGGGGGTGCGAGCCCCCAGATCTGCACACGGGATGGCAGGAGGCTGCTGCTGCCAGCAAGTGACGTGTTTTGCTTTTTGCAGTTTGAGGTGCAGTTTCCCAGAAACCCCTCTACCTATCTCCTTGAAACTTGGCAGGCTTCATGCCCTCAGAAGGGGCTAATATCCCTGCAATTTGTATCTGAATCAGGCAAGAAATGAAAAAGTTATAGGCATTTTCAGGATTCCCCTTTATAGCCTATGGGCAAAACGTCAAAACGCATTGAAACAGCAAAAGAGTTTTGATGAAACGAAATGATGCAACAAACCACTGTCCCTTCGAAGCAGCAAAACAGAAGTTGAAACGAACCCTCCCGGGATGTTTCAAGCAGCCCTAATATGTTCCCATGGCAGTGAGGTAGGGAGGGAGGAAGTGAGGCTGGGGGGTGGGGAGTCGTGCAGTGAAGCCCAAGGGCTGCAGGCAGGTGGTGTCGGCTGCTTCCAGGGCTGCAACAGGGAGCAAAGCAGGAGAAACTGTCAGTGGGTGCAGGGCTGGGGACACAGCTTCTGCTGCCACGCACACCCTGGGAGGTGTGTGTCCTTGGATCTGCACACAGGATGAGAGCAGGCTGCTGCTGCAGGCTGGCAGCAGCACCATGCTCTTCCTGGTGCTTGGGATAGGCCCCAGCCTGCTCTCATCCCGTGTGCAGATCTGGGGGCACGCCCCCCAGGAAGAGCCCGGCGCAACCCCCAAGCCAACAGCACTCCCACGGTGTTTGTAGCAGCAAAAGTCATGCCCCCCCACCCCGCACCCACTGACCGTTTCCTCCGCAGCTGGCGTTGGCCATTCCTGGAGCCGCTGCAGTAGGGGCTGGGGTCAGTGGGAACAGGTAGAGCCCCAGGAGGCACAGGGCACGGTGCAGCTGCACTCACCCCAGCCCTTGCTGCAGCAGCCCTGGGAGCGGCCAGTGCCAGCTGCCTGTAGATGCTGGGCAGCGCCATGCCCCGAACCCCGCAGGGCTCCGCTTCTCCCCACTCACGCCAGCCCCTGGGCTATGCCATGCCATGGTGCAGGCAGGTGGTGCTGGCTGTTCCCGGGGCTGGTGCACCAGGGGCTGGAGTGAGTGGGGACAAGAGGAGCCCTGGGGGGTTCGGGGCATGGCACAGCCCAGCAGCTGCCAGCAGCTGTTCCTGGGGATGCTGCAGCAGGGGCTGGGGTGAGCGGGGACAAGCAGAGCCCTGGGGGGTTCGGGACACAGCACAGCCCAGCAACTGTAGGTGACTGGCATCAGCCGCTCCCAGATCAGCTGCATCAGAGGCTGGGGTGAGTGGGGTCCTGGCCCCACAGCCCTTTCCCCTCCCCCCACAGACTTACCTGCTTGGGGGAAGGGAGAGCGCACCTATGCCGATGGCATGAGTGGATTTACTGTGCGTATAACGAATTTTGGGTATAAAAAGGGTCGTTGCATAAGAACAAATTTGCATATATAGAACCTGCATAAAGCAAGGAAAACCTGTACTGTGTTCAGTTTTGGGGCCCCCACTACAAAAAGGATGTGGACAAATTGGAGAGTCCAGTGGAGGGCGACAAAAATGGTGAGGGGGCTGGAGGACATGACTTATGAGGAAAGACTGAGGGAACTGGGCTTGTTTAGCCTAGACGAGACTGAGGGGATTTAATAGCAGCCTTTAACTACCTAAAGGGGGGTTCGAAAGAGGATGGAGCCAGACTGTTCTCAGTGGTGGCAGATGACAGAACAAGGGGCAACGATCTCAAGTTGCAGCAAAGGAAGTTTAGGTTAGATATTGGGAAGAATTTTCTTACTAAGAGGGTAGTAAAACACTGGAACAGGTTACTCAGAGAGGTGAGAGAAGTTCCATGTTTGGGAATTTTCAAGACTTGCCTAGACAAAGATTTGGCTGGGATGATCTAGTTGGAGATGGTCCTGCTTTGAACAGGGGGTTGGACTAGAGGACCTCCTGAGCAGAGATGTGGGGCGGAAAGCTTTATTTTTCTGTGGGAAGCTTTCCATTTCTAAAAATTCATTGTTTAATAAAATTCATTATTGTAACAATGAATGTGCCAATACAATATCAGGCAAGCCTGGCAGTTTCAAAGTTATAATTAATGTTTTTCAGGTGATTATCCACAGGAAGTGTGTGAAAGAGTACATAGCTGTTTTACTGATTTGTAAACAGGAGGGTAATACACTCACATAATAAACCAAACCAAAAATCAAGTTAGGAAGTCACCTAATTGGCTGTGCAGGTCAAATCAAAACCAAATGAATGCACTGCTAAGCTTGCTTCCATTTCTCAAAATCTCTTGCTTCTGGAGAATCAGACAGAAGCACAATTAGTGAAGATGCAGTGTGATGGTAAGTTGCCCTTGCCCGTAGACTCATTGGTAAAATCATCCTTTAGCGAAAGAGAATGAGGTTGTAGTAGTTCTGAATCAGATTTGCTTCAATCCGATTCTGCAATGGAACTGATCAGTAGTGCAAGTGATTCTACAGATAGTGACAGTGAAACTGGAGGTGCCACAATGACCTTAGTAGAAGAGAGTTAAACTCTGTTGAAGTAGATGAGGACAACCATGGCATATCATGCACAAGTCTTTGGGTGTGTAAAAATTAGTGTGTCAACAGTTGTCAAGGCTTTCGTTTTTTTCTTAAATTTAAACAATGTAAGGAAGGTATATGCTATTGTGTATTGTCTTTATATTTTTACAAGTATTCCAATAAAAATAATTTCTTTCCACATAAAGCTTTGAATTTGTTTGAATATAACATGTAAACCACATTAAGTGTGCTGTATTTAATTTTTTTCCTAATCAAATATTTCCTTTCAAATACTTGTGGCTATTGGGACAAAGTTAAAGTGGGGGTACCTTTTTTAGTTTTGTTTACTAAATATAAGTCAAATAAATGTGCCATGTCAAATCACGCTCTATTTAGGGCAATTCAAAATTTTCTGGAAAACCCACATCTCTGGTTGTGTATAGTCACCCATGTTCTAAGCATGCAATCTCCTTGCAAAAAATAAATACAGAGGTTGGTAGAAAATAAGGGCTTAAACTAGTGAAGTAAAGAACAGGTCATGGAAAAATTATCAGGTCTCATGCTTATTACCTTGAATTATTGAGACTATTTGTGGCAGTTAAGAGTTTTACTGGATATGTCTCTAAAACATTAGCTTCTGTGCATTCTTAGTGTCCTTGGAGCCAGGATATTCTGAGGTTAAGGCAAGCCACATCAAAATTATATCTTTCTATCTGAAGCATTTCCCTGAGGATCTGCTGAGGAATCTTGCTGAACAACTTTGATCAATAAACACCATCAGGAAAGACTGTTCTGCTAAGTCAGAGAAAAGTTTTAACGGATCTGGAAAATGGCAAACATGGCTCAGGTTTTCTGGTTTTCAAAGGTTGACAATCTGTACACAGTAAAAGTGATGTCACTGTTAACTTTTGTTTGCCATAAGGGTTAAGAATTGGTCTTTAGGAAAGAAACCACAAATTACAGCTGAAAAACAAGACTCAGATTTAATTC